TCCTTAAAAGGAAAGTCTTTCTTAGGGAATCCCCATCAGCAGCTGCGTGGCTTTTAGGTCTTGGGAGTTTTCAATGTACTCTGATGCTGGATGGATACATTACAAATTAGAGAAATAAAAGGGGGGAGGAATCAAGCAGTTCTGGCCCAGTGAAACAAATGTTCTGCTTTTGCAGCCAGACATGACGATCCTTGTTGGTCTCTTCCAATGGAACTGTGACAGCTTGCTAAAATCTTAAATGGTTTGGAACTTTAGGTCTGAGTCCACAGCAAAGTATCTATGTTAAAATGACCATTGACTCCAATTTGAGGAGCAGAACTCTTAAATTTTACCTCCAGAAAGACTGCATATTCGCCTCCGCTGCTGCAATTAGTCATTTCACTAATTGAAATGCTGATCACATTGCAGGTGCTAGGAAGGGAAATCAGAAGCTCGGAGCTGCCAGCAGGGCAAACTGACTGTGTCTGTGCAATAGCCTCAGCAGGTTATATCTTGGGCAGGCACCCATGGACACAGTAAGTGTCTGGCTGTATTTAATCTCTTGATAGCTGTCTTTTCCAAGTACAGTAGCCCTCCGTTCTTGATCTGTCTATGTAGAAAAACTAATATGATGCTCACTGCTTGACATGTCATGGCTTCGGTCCAGCCAAACATCAGCAGCCAGTGTCACTCTGAATTGTTACCTCTGCAAACAAAAGCCAGTGCCGTTCCCACGCAGAGCGGCAGCCTGGCTTAGCGCTGCTCTTCATAGTGCAAGTGTCTGCATAAATCATGCTCTGAGGCTGGCAGGTGTTTATATTTAGTCCTTCTGGAGTCACGTAGTCACTCGTGATGCCGTGCCTCTCCCTGTCACTGGTTAAGCTACTTGTAAGAACTACAGATATCTTGCTCTCGGCATCTGTAGTAGAAATAAGCATCCCACTGCTGGGATTTGCATTCAGTTCTTCTGGAACCCTGAAGAACCAAGCGAAGTTTTTAAAAAAATGTCTATTCCTGCAGTTCCAAATTGTTCGTAATGTTCTTTAGACAAAAAGGAACAGAACGTGACCTTTGCTAACAAATAAATGAGCTCCATCTGTCCACAGAGCCGGTAGGGCTGTGGGGCTTAGGGGCATGGCTGCACTGCACAGCGTGGTCAGAAATACCAGTGCTGATTCCAAGTACCCCAGTGTGCTCATATGGTGCAGGGCTGGGAGAGGGGAGATGACCGAGCTGAACTGCTTGCCCTCCTGCTCACTCACAGGAGTGGCAGGCTGCCTGAGCAGGCAGGATTCCCTGAAGTGCTTGGAAGAGAGAAAATGCCTTGTGAGTGCTCAGTGGCTTTAAGTATCATCTATTGGCTTGCCCTTGTTGGAAAAACTTTGCCTATATCCTCCTAACTAGGCTGGGATTCTCAGCATAAGGAAAGATTTCTGATGTGTTGCCTCCGAAAGGGAGCCCTCTGCCATCATCACACCTCCTTCACTCAGCCTGTGCTTGTTTCATCAACAAGTTTGACACCAAGTTTCAACAGGGAGTGACTCCTGATGCCACTGCTTAATCCATCAGAATATAACCAAGCAAAAAAAAAAAAAAACCACAACCCAAACCTGAAGGATTCCACTCAAAACCTGGGTATTTCCTTGTTCTCAGTCATTTCAGTTGGCTCACAGAAGCTTTTTAGTATCACAGGTGGCTGAAGGAAGGGTGCAGGAATGAGTGGCCAAAAGGGAGGGAAGGGAAAATGTGGTTAAAGCCAGAAGGGACTGATCCCCCTCTTTCAGGGGCACTGAGGTGTTGGTTAGAACAGAGCTGAGGTTTTCCCTCAGAACCCAAGTCACCTGCATTTCTTTCATGTTGTACCTTGCAGCAGTGGTTCACATTGAGATATTTAATTACTATCTAGTTTTTCTTTAGCATCACTGACTCCTCTCTCTGGACTTTTCCCCCCTATTTCTAATCTGTTTCTTCATGGTGACTCTTTGCAGCATCTATAATGTTGCATATATGTATATCTTGGTATTTATTCTATCTATTCTTTACTGACTTTCATACCCTTGATGCAGTGTTCATATCATATGGATTAAATGCAAAACACCTTTATTTTTCTCTTGTTTCAGTGGTTTGTGTGTTAGGATTTACACAGATGTCCCATGAGTGGGGAACTGGATCAGAGAGGTTTTGGTATGGAATTTGACTTTCCATCTCCAGAGGGAGTTTTGGCAGAAGTGCTGGATCACACTGACTATTTCTGTCCACTTCCTGTGTGATCTTTTGACGGAGCATTTTTGTCATTTTTACCAAACGTGCAAGACTTAATTTGTTATTTCTTTCAATGTGCTGTAGTGTATTTTCAGTTAAAGCACGTGCAGATTCTGACATAGTGAGCTACTTCCCTCGTTCCTATGGAAATCATTTTGTTTGGACTGTGTATCCAGGGGTGGAGAAAAACCTGGCTTTGTGTCTTGTGAAAGGAGGTTTGCCAATGATTTCAATAGAAGAAAGAACGAGCCCTCAGATTATATTCAGTGAAAAAGAGTTTATAAGAATATCCATTTCTGCCAGTGAGTGAGCCTACTTACAGCACTGCATTTAGTTGGCTGTTACTTACATAGTACCTAGAATTCCCACAGGTTTAAGTTTTTCCTGACGAACTGAGATAAACTTGTCTCACAAACATGTCCATGTGAATGTGTAAAGAAATGTTATGACCAATATTGTGTCTTTTCTTGCATTCTATAACAACAACCTTTCCACTTATTGCTCTGAGTGGCATTCAGAATACTACTACACCTTAACTCCGAGGAAGGACTTTTTCATTCAGAAAGTTGTGCACATATATATACATAAAGAGAGAGAGAGTAGAATCATAGAATGGTTTGGGTTGGGAGGGACCCTTAAGACCATCTCGTTCCAACCCTCTCCTAATAGGCAGGGACACCTCCCTCTAGACCAGGATGCTCACAGCTTCATCCAGCCTGGCCTTGAGTGCTTCCAGGGAGGGGCATCCATCCGTATATATGTACATAACACACACAGGTGTCGTTATAACTGACAGATGAGGATTGCCTTTTATACATCACTAATATGATTCATCATTAGAGAACATCTTTAAAGTTATGAAATTATGAATGCAGGATCATGCCCATATTGACAAGGTTTACAACCCATGGAAACGCATCTTAATGTGCAATGGATCAGTTTCTTCACTAGTTTGTCATGGTAGAGCTGCAGAAGTGAAATTTTCTTTTCTCCAGAGACTGAAAATTTGACTTCTGCTTACTGCTGGCTCCCACATTAGTGCATGGATGCTTGACAAAATGAGTCACTGGACCTCAACATCCTTCTTTAAACCAGCATTTTAAGGTTTTTTGGTGTTAGAGAACTGCGGGGAAGGTGGAGAAGGGCATGGCTGTGCTGTAGTTATAATGTTTTAAAAAGTTCTATCACATTTTGCTTCTGTTTCATGTAAGAAATTGTTGCTACACCATTTTGCTATGAAACTAGTTCTTCTATGCCTATCTTTAGAGCACCACCCATCTTCTGAACTGTGCACAGCAAGAACTACAAGTCGGTGGGCTTAAAAAGCTGCAGAAGCCCAATTCAATACATAGGAACTTTTATTCTATCTGTTCCATAGAGACCAGGTACTTTTAAAGTTCATGAATGGTAAGGAAGCTTTTTAAGTCAGAACCTTACTGATCAATAACAATCAGGGCAGTCATTCCAGTGGTGAAGTTACAGGTTGACATCAAAGAAATTTTTCAGCAGCCGAATTCTGTTTGTCATTATTTGTCACAACAAAAATTCTGGTTGGTAAAACCAAAAATCATGTTCAGGGATTCATAGTGGTTGACAAGTTCTCGACAGGTGACTTTTGGGGATTTAATTTTAGCATGTGCACAAATGGCAACCACTGCTTTCTGGAAAACATGATGTTGTGTGGGCCCACGCTAAAACACATTTTGAAAAGAAATTCCTCTCCTATTTTCATTTGGTCTCAAGAGGGGTATAAGAGACTTTAGGGCAGAACAGCATTTTTCCTTTTCTCCATAATTCAAACTATGAAAAAAAAAAACAAGGAACATTTTTTCTTACTGATGTTACTGTTACGAGGCTTCAGAGGTATCAGCACAGTTTAAAAGCAGTATTAAAATCTCTAGAAAAAATCCTAGCGTCTGCCAAGGCATGAACTTTATAGACATTTAATCCCTTAAATTCATTTCCTTGAAGGATCCACTTACTGTTGGTTGAGTTTGCCTGACGGAACAAACCCTGAGGCAGTGCTGCTCATCTGCTCATCTGCTGTCTGCTTGTTGGGTGCCCCTGGGAGCTGCTGGAAGCAGAGGCTCTCAATGAGTGCCTTTGGACCCATCAGCTGTGATTTAGCAAAGGTGTCTGAATTTGCATCTGAGAACTATGCTTAATGTTTTTCTTATTCCACAAGTAGAATACTTAGGTTTTTTCACCAAAAGTGTATTTCTCTATGTTAATACCTAGCTCAGCTTAATAATTTTTGCCAAAGATACAGCTGTTCTGCAGATGGGAAAAAAAAAGGGAACTAACATAGAATCTGAAAAATTTGGTTCTTTTTGTACTTTTTCAGTATTCAGAGCAGCCATGATTATGATTTAGTGTAGTGAGAGGAGATACGCTCATAGCAGGAATCCAAGAAGAGGGAAAAGCAAGCAGGAGGCATCTGAGAGCTTTAGATTTAAGTTTTCTGGATGGATTTTTTCAAAGTGCGTGGTTCCATGTGCTATAAAACAGGACAGTGCAATGCAGATTACTTCTTTTGGGGAGGGAGGAGGAATCATAGTTCATAGCCAGCGGGTGGACATAATTATTCTCATTTTCCTGATTTTATTTTACTGTTAACCTTAAGAAATCTTTAGAATCAAATGGTCGACACTGATGTCAGAGAGCTATATGTGGACGTTCTGCCGGGCTATACATTCCTCAGGACCAGCTACACTGCATCTATGACAATCCTGGATAAGCAGAGAAGAGATGGAACTTACATTTGACAGTGCTGCGAGACTCCTGGAACCCGGCTGACTCTGAGCCCCAGCCCAGGGCTTCGCACTCGCGCTCCTCCCCTTGCCCGTGCCTGCTGCTCGTGCTCGCTGCTGCCTTGCTCCTCTCTGCCAGCCAGCACATCTTCCAGAGCCCCACGCTGCGCTTCCGCCCATCTTCCAGGGTCTGGTACACCCAGTTAGGAGTAAAGGCAGCCGCGTTGTTAAGAATAAGTGAGACCAAGGCTACCAACACAGCTGTGGCTACCAGTTTCTGGACAGTCATATCTGACTGTCAGCTCGCTGCCGGTCTCTATTAGCAGAAGACGCGAGGTCTCAGTCAGCTGCAGCACATTGAAATGGGGCTTGAAATGGAGGCAGCTTGGATAGGATGTTATGAGTGGCTAGAGGACATCACCGTTCATTCTCAAAGTCAACTCCAGAGGTGTTTCTGACGAAGCAAATGAGAATTTTGTGAGGTAGGTAGGATAATTCCATAAAATAAGAACACCAAGAAGCTTATTTAAGTTTCTGTCCTTCCCAGCTTTGGCTTATCCACCTTCTTGCACCTTGATGAGCAGTGCCAGGCCGGTGATGAACTGGAAGACGGGGAGGTCCATTCCCTGTGAGCCGAGGCAGGCGCTGTGGGGATCCAGGCTGCGGGCAGAGCGCGGGCGCTGGGTGCCGGCCAGCAGCGTGCCCAGCGCAGCCAGGGGCACGGATCCTTTCAGATGAGCGCTTCAGAATATCCCGCGGATGCTGACAAATGGCATTCTTAAAGCCCAGCTGAACTCCAAACGAATGTTTTCATCCCAAAGGAGCTAGGAAAGCTTGGAGTATCCCGAGGAATTTGCTCCGCTGCGTCCCTCTGAGCACCAGAGCTGCGAGTGGTGGGGGCTGGAGCGCGGACTGCCGTGAGGAAAAGGTCTGCCCCCCACCCCCCCACCTCTCCACTCAGAGGAAATGGCTGTTTTTGTGGCTGTTTTTGGTGAGCCTCAGGGCGTAGTCGACTGCAACAAACAGAGCCGCTGCCACGGCAGTCAAACATGAACAGGATGTGTTTCCTGAAAGGAAAAGACATATGGAGACTTCTAAAGTTGTCCCTCCTCCCCTTGGAGCGTCCCCTTCCCGCCTCACTCCTCCCCTCAGTGCGAGCCGGGGGGGCTGCGGGACATCGGGGTCCCCTGTGCTCCCACACAGAGCCCTGGGCGTCGGGCTGCAGCGTCTGGAGCAGGCTGCCGTCCCTCCTTGCAACCCTAGATTGGAGCCTGGCAGCCAAACAGAAAAATGTAAAGCTGGGAGGAGATACGTGGGTGCCTGAACGAAGTCGCGAGCGTTTTGGTGTGATGGCTGGGCTGGGCTGTGGGACAGATGCGGCTCTGAACCCCACGTCCAGCCCTGCTGCAGCTGCTGTGCTCCTTGCTCTGAGCCCATCAGGAGTGTCGAAGCTGAACAAACGAAAAACCTCACAACTGCGTTAGGTTTAACGTTTGGTAATACTCGTGCCTTGTAAAGTGGTGTTCTTGTCGTCAGCCTGCAGAGTGAGGGACGAGGAGTCAGGAGAGGGATGGGTACAGTGCTGAGTTGTGCCAGCAGTTCACATCCATGGGATTAACAAAACGAGAGTGAAAAAGGTTTTAATTTTAAAGCAGTTTTTGTCTTGTCAGCGAGGTGTCATTACCCGTTGTAAACAGATCCCTACTGACATGCAGACAAAGTGGAAATTTGTTTTAAGGAGATCCTTAGTTTTTCTGAGACTTGTTGCTAACAGGGGTGGAAAATGGTTCAGGGAATCCCATACAAGCCTGTAGTTAGCTTTCAGCCATCAGAATTGAATGCACAAAGCTTGCTGTAAATTCCCCTCCCCTCTGTGCGCTTGGTTCATTTCAGTCCTTAAACAGATGAAGCTTGAGGCACTTTGTGCTTTCACAGCAGTGCAGCATCATTTGTGTCTGTTTTTCCTGTCAGTGATTGGTCATACTGGTATACATCCGTGTTCTTAGAAATTTGGCAAACACTGCTATTGGCAAACATTTATAATCATTCTTCAAAGAAATGTCTGACCATACTTTTGTAGTGAGAGACCAGGGATTTTTTTTGTTATTTTAAGCCTGCAGCAGGGCAGATGATGTGGCCATCGTAGATGATGCCAAAGATAAACCTCTTCTGTACAGCAGTAAACTTGTCTCTGCTCCTTCCTGATTTTTTGGTCACTGATTTTTCAGTGATGTATTGAAGCCTGAGGATGCATCTTGTAGTAACAGTGAGATGATCATCTCAGAAAGTGCTGTGTAATTTTATGTCCGTGTTGTCCCCCTGGAGGTGAGGACGGTCTCATTGCAGCTGATTCCAGGCTTATGATGGTGGGAATGTTTCTGGGAGCTCCAGTCCCTCCATACAGAGCAGATGGGATGGCAGCACTGCAGTCTTCACCCCACCCAGATAACACAGAAAGTGTATCTGAGGAGCAGTGCAAAGCAGCGATAATTGCTGTCTGCAGTAATTTAGCAAACACGTTTAGCAAGACTTTTTTTCCCATGGCAGAATTTCTGGTGGCTGGCCTTGTCCATAATGAGCTGTTTGCCGTCTTCCGTGACGAGGTGCAGTTCTGTTCAGTGGTGGGTTAAATTTTCCCATGCAATTTGCATAGCAGCTTGTAGAGCATTTGGGGCATTTCTGTGTGAGAAATAATGTAATTTTACTTCTGGAGTCTCAGTAATTTGGATAACTAGGTGAATCTGTACGGAGTTTCTCTGTTTAGTTCCTAATAAATTCTCTTTGCATTTGTTTATGCAGGACATGATCCATTGTTGAAACAGCATTCCATGGGCAAGTGGTTTTTTTATCATTTATCATTCTGTTCAACTAATAACGACATCAAAAGCTGAAAAGTTGGGGCATACTTGAAAGGAGTAGGTTGGACCAAACGAATAGCAAATGAGTTTTGAAAAGATCCAGTAAGTTTTCCTGGCTTCTTCTTACTAAAATGGCTTGGTTATTATTATTATTAGCTCCTCACTGTCTCATTCAGGTTCTTGTTGGCACTTAGTGATATTCTCTTCACGCCTAGATCTTATGCTTCTAGTATAGAACAGTCAGGGAATCCTCCCTGTCCTTTAAGAGAGAAGAAATCACTGCAGTGAACACTTCTCTATTGACAGATGTATAGGAGCATATTCCATTCTTAGTCCTTCCAGTCCTTTCTTGGAACTGAAATGCACATACTTTCAGGACAGGAAGCAAAGAATACCAATGATAACCAAGCAGCTTTATTTCCATTTGTATAAAAATAGATAATGTGATTTTGCCAAATATTGCAACAGAATACCATGTATTGAAAAAATCTTAAGAAAAAGTCTGAGTGGGTGTTTGGAGGAATTGAATAGCTGATTTTCTTATGCCTAAAGCAGTACTTATTGCAGTACTTAGGACACAAGATTTTGTTTGATATAATTCACACAAAACTATGGCTTGCTATTGACTTTACCAGGATATTTTTGGAGTAGACAAAGCTATGGATTCAATATAACACAAATATCATTCTGTAAGATTTTTACTGTTTTATCAACTTCTGCCAGGGAAGAATTCATAGGAATAGTCCAGACAGCTTTCAATGTTTTGAACATATATATGAAAAATGCCTGACACCTTTCCCAAAATAGCATTCATTTAAATATGATGAACTTTCCCAGTTTCAAGAGAAAAGGCAGCGTCCCACCAGCTCTGGCATTTTAGCTCTGTGTTGATTTTGCATTGATTTGAAGATCAGTGTTCATTTCTTAGTTGTCTTTAAAGTTTAACGCAGCACTTCTAAATGATGAGGGTGGAATCCTCATTAACCTTAGGTGTCAAGTAGTGTGTCTGATGTGGCCATGTCCAAGCCCTCAGTAGCCAGTATGGTCCATGACATGATGCTTTTGTCCTGTAACTAGTCTAGCAAACCATATATTGTGAAGTTGCTTGTAAATGAATTAGTTGATCAGAATCACCCAGAGGGTGGTGAGGCACTGGAACAGGTTGCCCAAGGAGGCTGTGGATGCCCCATCCCTGCAGGCATTCAAGGCCAGGCTGGATGTGGCTCTGGGCAGCCTGGGCTGCTGGTTGGCGACCTGCACACAGCAGGGGGTTGGAACTGGATGAGCACTGTGCTCCTTTGCAACCCAGGCCATTCTATGATTCTATGCTATATATAAGACAGATTGCTTTATTCTAATGCTTCTTTTGGGACTAGTCAGGTGCAATTTCAAGTTACTGATATCCAGGCAAGGATGCAGGTAATTAACATTTGGAAAATAGTAATAGATGTTGTTAATTTTCCTTAGGAAGCAGCACCTGCTTTGTCCTGTCCTTTGCATGGAAACACCCAAGAGCAGCATGTAGGCAATGGGTGGAGGATAGGGACAGGGTGGTGCCCAGTGTTTGTCCAGGACAGCCCAGACATGGTTTACATTATGGTGAGTCTCTCAGTAAACACTTAGCACCAGAACAGTACATCCACTGTGTTCCTGTTAGTTGAACTGCTGAGAATCTACATCCTTGTGTCTGTTCTTTGCTCAAGAAAAACTGCCACATGCTCAGCTGTGAAACCTGGATTTCCCTCTGTAGTGGTGCAGGCTGTGCCTGAGGCACAAGGGACACTCACCCACCCCAGGTGCTGTGCTGGGGATGTGGCCTTGTGCTGGAGTTACCGGGGGAGGCTGGTTGAGGCTGAGATGAATACATGCACTGTTTTTGTCGGCTGTTCAAACGGGAGTGTTACACTGCATGTCCTCAGTGACTGCAGCAGGAAAATCTACCCACCTCCCCGCAGCATTACAGCATTACATACATAACGTCGTGTTGTAGATGCTGTGTCTGATATTTATAGCACAGTGCTTAGGGTCCTGTTATCAAAGTGGGGCCCAAGTTGAAAAAAGAGATTCTTTCTTCTCCTGGTCAAGATACTTAGAGATGAGATGGAATGCAAGTACGTGCCTTTTTCGAATGTACCCCATAAAAGGGAGGAGAGTTGTAAGATGCTTCAGACACGTGAATCTCCAGCACTTTAAATAATACTCCTTTTCCTGTTGTGTTTTTTGTTGTGTGGAAAAACGTGTAGTGATAGAAGGCTTTGTGAAATCAGACTGTTGAATGCTGGAAGCATCGTTTCACAGAAAAACAGATCCAGAAAGGTGAGAACACTGTTAGAAAAACTGTTTCATCAAATACATGGAAAAACTTGTGTCTGAAGGAGCATCAGGGTTTTGTTTGGAATCTGTCGTGCTCCTGGCATGGCCTGAAGCTCAGGGTGCAGCACAGGCAGTTTGCTGACGTGCTGCACAGGCAGGCACTGAGACAAGCAGGGAGTGCGTTCCTGCGGCTCTGCTGTGCTGCATCTGGTCTTCGTTAAGGATCCAGTTGTGGCTAACGAAGCACAGATGTGAGCTGCTTTCCAGAGGGAAGAAAAGAAAGAGGAGGAGGGGAAGAACAGGAAGTTCTCAGAATGTGGGCTAGGGGGGGAGGGTAAATCATTCCTTGGCCTTGTGTATGTGACAGCAAGGCCAGCCCTGGGAGAAGAGTTGCTGCCTTTTAAGGATGTAAAGACAGACGTGTCTTTCTCCCTGACCTACCAACTGTCAAAAAAGAAACTGTTCTTGGTTTGGATTACGTGAGAATGTTCAGCTCCTGGTGTTTCTTGTTTCTTAACCTGGCTTGCATTGTTTTGTACATAGCTTGAGACAGCAAAACTGAAGCGCAGCTGTCCCTGGGAATGTTCTGATGCTGGAGATGTCTTGCTGCTCACTGAGGAGTAGAACAGATTCAGGGCAAAGGCAGAACAGAGGTTCTGGCTGCATTTTGGTTGCTGGCGGTTCCATGGGCTTTCTGCAGGAGTTATGGGAGGATGAACCCCAGCACCCTGGTCCTGGCTGCCATCAGTGTGTGAGCTCAGTCTGCTGCACCATCCTGCTGTGGTGCTGGCACGATGTGATCCATGCTGCTTCCCAGCCTCCACTCGGTTGTGTGCTCTGCGGTTCTCAGCAGCTGTGTGCTTTGTGCCTCTGTTGGGGAGTGAGACCACCTGCCTTTTGCATGGCAGATTTTTTTTTTTTTTACACTTCTGGTGATTTCAAGAGTTTGAAACCCTTGATCCCATATCAGAAGTAGGCTGCAGTGCATGGAGGCTGGTGAGAGACCAATGATTGGTCTCTCAAAGCAGGAGCAGAAACTGAACTGCAGTAATGCACGTATATATATGTTTATCTATTCATTCAAGGCCAGGCTGGATGTGGCTCTGGGCAGCGTGGTCTGGTGGTTGGCAACCCTGACCATAGCAGGGGGTTGAAACTAGATGAGCATTGGGGTCCTTTTCAACTCAGGCCATGCTGTGATTCTGTGATGATTCTATGATAATGCAAGTACATACCTTCATCACAGCAGTGTCCTTTGTGTGAGGGACGCATCTATACGAAATAACCAGCTTCTCCTGCAGCTGGGCCATAGGAGACGATTTGGCTGTGGATTCTCCACCCATCTGATAACTAAGCTGTCCTTAGCTCCAGTGAGAGAATGGGAACTCCTCTGCATTATTTGGATGAAACATTCCTTCAGGCACTTCTAGAAGGCAAAGGGAGGGAATAGTCAGAGAGGCAGTGTTTTCCTGTTGCAGGTGCTCAGCATGCTGGTGATCTGCTCTTAGTGCATTGCTTGCTTTGGATGAACGCATGCAAGCACTGCCCAGCTGTGAACACTTATAAATTCAGTGTGCTCTGTGCAGTCTGTCCGCAGTGCTGCATGTGTAAGGTGTGCTCACCACCTCCTGCCCAGCTGGGTCTGTACAGAAGTTAGAGCTTGCCTGGGCGCCTCTGACTGTCTGGAGGGGATTGTTGCCCTAGGGTAACAAAATCAAACCAAACCCAGAGCACATCACCGGGAAATGTTTCTTCCTCTCTTTCTGTTCCACCCAGTTGGTAGCTGGCTGCTGGGCCAGCCAGCTTAGTTCTGTATATGGGTTGCAGTGGAGGAGGAGCAAATGGAATGGCCGAGCTCCAGCTTTTCAGAGCAGAGGTACATTGTGGTCTATGGCGTATGGGTAGCACAGGTGCCAGGGGTGACACGCTGGCAGTTTGTGTGTGGGACAGGAGCTCCCAGAGAGGAATCCCTTGGGCAACAGCAGCTCCCACTGAGTTTTGATGTTGTCAGGAGCCATTGCCATTCACAAAAGCGTAATGCTGCCAACAGATGACAAGTAACAGCAGGAAATGGTTGTTCATTTTCATTCATTGTTCTCATGCAGTGAGGCCGTGCCTCAAATACTGGGTTCAGTTTTGGTCCCCTCAGTACAAGAAAGGTATTGAATTGCTCAGGTGTGTACAGAAAGGAGCAATGAAGCTAGTGAAGGGACTGGAAAGGAAGGCCTATGAAGTGTGCCTGAGGGAAGTGGGGTCTCATTGCTCCCTACACCTACGGGAGGCTGCAGTGAGGAGGTGTTGGTCTCTTTTCTCAGGTGATAAGTGCTAAGGAGGCAAGGCAACGTCTTCAAGTGACATAAGGAGAGATTTAGATTGAATATCAAGAAGGATTTCTTCCCAGAGAGGATGGCCAAGCATTGGAACTGGCTGCCCAGGGAGGAGATGGAGTCACCATCCCTGCAGGTATTGGAGCAATGTGGATGTAGCACTGAGGGACGTGGTTTAGTGATGGGATTTGCTAAGTCAGGTTGGTGGTTGGGCTTCGTAATCTTCAAGGTCTTTTCCATCCTGGGTAATTCTGCATATGTCCATCTGGGGTCTTTTCCATCCTGGATGATTCTTTTAAGTCTCATTGTGTTTCTCTGCACACCAGTATTTTTAACTTTGTAAAAATATACTATTAAGTTTATTTTCTTTCGGAAGTTTCCATTCACTTAGGCTAAATACAATTTCTTACCTTCTTGTCTCTGTTCAAGTCCATGAACTCTCATCTTCTTGCATCCAGGGAACTGCAAGCTCTCAAGGTTCTTAAAGATTTTGATCTCCTTTCAGAAATGTACTGTTTGTTTGGCACAGCACTGCACAAGCCTGTGTTCCTTCAGCTGTTGGCAGCTTCTTCTGGCATGTTACAGTGTTTGGGAAATAGATGCCTTTTCCCTGTGTGTTGTGAAGTGCAGCCATTCATACATACATGCTACCTTTGATGTCTTGTGCTGGTGATAGAAATGTCTGTCTGTGTTGATCAAAGCCAGGTGACAATATCTAATATGACCTAAATGTCCTTTAAAGATGCTTTTCCTGCTGTCCCCAGTTCTGGGTATAAGCAGTGGCTTGCTTAAAAGAAAAAAACAGTTAAGACTTATGAAAATGAGAATGGCTGCATCTTCTGCTGGTAGAAATCAGCATTTCTGTGTTGGACAGAAGTGCATCGTAGGCACTCAGAAGGATGTAGCACTGAATTTCCAGTTCTGGTGTTCCATATTCCTTTTGGCATTTCTTTCTGGAAGGGACTCGGATATGTCAGCACAGAGGCTGAGGAGGCTGTGTTTGAACCACGGTCAGCATGGACAAGCAGATATAAGGAATTCAGTAATATTTTCAGAGAATATTAAGAAGCAAAACTTCTACCTAAAATTCATCCCTGATTTATTACTTCTGATCCTACTTTATTTCCTCCATACATTTTGGCATTTATGAAGTGTAGGTCGCACACTTATATTGATTACCACCTGAGAATTTTGCACTGGTTGTAGTTGCAAATAAAAATATAATCTGATTTTAAAGTAAATCAGGAAAAACATTTTTTTCCTCCTTTACTGACTGAATGTGCTTGACAGCACGTTGCGTCTCATCTCCTTTGCTGCTTCCCGGTTAGTCAGTTTCCCCTGTTTGTGCAGGTCTTTCCCACAGCCACTGGGAAGAGAAAAACATTTTAATCATAGGAAAACATGATTGTCAGCCCCCCACCCCCAAACTGGAAGGGGATTTGTTTGCAGGTGCAGGACCTGAAGTGTCATTCAACTCTTCCAAAAAAAAAAAAAAAAAGAAAGAAAGTAGAAAATTTTTTTTTCCTGCTTTCATCATCCTTGTACTCAATTTGTGTCATGGTGCTGCCTGAGAACCGCATGGATCTCCGCTGAAGCCCTATTTTGAATGCAAATGTTTTGTTAATCAAACATGCTGCCTTTTACTCTGAAGAGCCTCAGATGTAAAGAGGCTTTGTGCAAATCTTTGCTTGCCCCCTGTGAAGTTGCATGGCCCTGACCGTATTGCATGGGAGCCTGGAGCTGGGATGGTAGTAATGCTGCCAGTAATGGCAGATGTGTTTGCAGTGTTAAGTGTAAACTCTCAACCTTGAGGTGTTCCCATTCTGAGCATTGCACGGCTTTTCTTTGTGCCACTTTTTATGTACTTTGATTAGAATGCAATAGTTTGGTCAGTTATTTCTCAGACAACATTCCTTGCTATTGAGTATGGCTGGTGGGCTGCCAATGGCTGATCCATCTTTGAACTACGCAGGACAGAAGCAGCATGTTTCTGCTGTAAGTTTTGTATCTGTATGTTAAAATCTTCCCTCTTTTTTTTTTTTCTTTATAAATTTATTTCTGAACTCTGATATGGGAGTATTATGCGTATAGAATCACTAAGATTGGAAAAGACCTCTAAAATCACCAAGTCCAACCATCAATCCATCCCACTGTGCCTGCTGACCATGGCCCTCAGTGCCACATCTCCATGGTTCTTGAACATCTCCAGGGATGGTAACTTCACCACCGCCCTGGGCAGCCCAGTCCAATGCCTGAGCACTCTTTCAGAGAAGAAGTTTTTCCTAACTGTAGCCTGTCCAGGTTGTTCTGTGGGGCAGATCAACACTTCCCCCAGCTCGGTGTCATCTGCAAACTTACTGAGGGAGCACTCAGTGCCCTCATCAGATCGTCAGTAAAGGTATCAAAGGTCCTGTTTTTAGTACTGACACCTGGGGACCAGCACCAGCTAGGTGTAACTTCGTTCACCTCCATCTCTGGGCCCAGCACTCCAGCCAGTTTTTTACCAAGCAAAGAGTGCACCTATCCAAGTCATGGGCTGCAGCTTCTCCAGGAGGATACAGTGGGAGATACAGAGTCAGAAGATACGTATGTTGCTGCTACAGTAAAAGCAAAAGTGATGGGTGCACAATAAATGTTTATATATGTACAAATATGACTGCTTTTGCTTAGACATTGGTATAAATCAAATGCCACAATACTTCCTTAAAGCTGTGGACCTTCAGCTCCATTACTACCTTTTATGTCTGAGAACTATTTCTATTCCTCTTAAATCTTCATTGGAACAACCAGAGTCTGTTTATGTCCCATAAGTGTGGAACATGCTAATGCATTGTCCTTTCTCGCTCCTTGCCTCTTACCTGCTTACTACCCACTCCTTGATGGTGATACCATAACAGCTTTCCCCTTCTTTCTGCTTTATCACAGTGAGGCTGTCTGGGAGAACATGGCTCGCATGTGTGTGAAGACTCAGAGGCTTGATGTTGCCAAAATTTGCCTTGGAAACATGGGTCATGCAAGAGGAGCCAAAGCATTAAGGGAGGCAGAACGGGAACCTGAGCAGGAAGCCAGAGTCGCTGTGCTGGCAGTTCAGCTGGGCATGCTGGTAAGCCTGTCAATCATATGCATCCTAGAATGTCCACTCTGTTTACTAGAGAACAGAGTGAAAATGTGACCATCTGAGAAATCTGAGAGAGATGCCAAAACTTTGGAGGCGAGTAATATCTATAACCACGTTTCCAAGGAGTAATGAACAGTAGTTCTTACCTTACTTCCTTGACGTTGTGTTTTTATCCTAAAGAAGTAGGCATCCCTTCCAGTGTTGCACAACCCAGTGCTGCACAATTACTGTGCCACATTGCATGGAGTCTTTCTCTGCTATCAGTGTGAATTCTGTAGGTTCATCAGTCCTATGAGCTGTTTTCATGGTTCTTGAAAATTAGATGAGTATGGCAGAATCCAGTGTCAGAAAGTAAGAGTGCCAAGAGCCATAGCAGTATAAGTTTATGGCAAATCAATTTGTCTGTTTTCAGGATATATAATGGCAGTAAAAGTGCTGAATGGAGGAAGCATCTTTTAAGGATGAAACATTGTAAGCTCTGTCTTGCATTTTTCTTGGGCCATAATTCTTCCAGACTTAATAATTCTAGGTTTGACTGGATTAAAAAAAAAAAAAAGATGTACTTTAAAATATTCTAGCTAAAATATTTCAACAAGCATATTTTAAGGTCCAACGCGATAAATGCAAGCTTCATTTTGAAGTGTTTTTTGTAGAATTAAAGTCTAGAGCTGTGTTTCAAGTTGCTGCCCCAGTGCTGGGGTCTGGCTGCAGGGTGGAAAGCTCTGCCCAGTCAGACTGGCTGCTTGTGTTGTCCCAGGGTCATCTGCTGTCCTACAGCTGCCTAGATCTCCGTGCCTGCTCCTGCTGTGCTGGCAGTGACTTGCCTGGTTCCAGCACGGAGCAGTTGAGCTGTTCTGCTGTCTCCCCTGCAGCAGTGGAAGAGTGTCCCTCGTGCCTGGAGCCTGACCTGGCAGCCAGCACATACCAAAGTGGAACATCTTTGCTGCACAGCTTCCTTTTAGTCTGAATTTTCTGCCCTTGATTATTGTGCTTTACCAATACAGCTGAGACCTGAAATGGAGCCTAGGCTGATTATCACATGGATTGAGAACTGACTGGAGCACTGCCAAGGTCCATGGATGAGGAGAGTGTGTGTCCTTCTCAGCCTTTACCTCATGCCTTCATCGGTGATCTGTTAGAAAAACACAATCGAGGTCTTAGTCCCAGGCAAACGATCAGTAAGAGGGTCAGAAATGGTGACACACCCCACAGTTCACAGGACATCACCAATTAGACACGAAATGCTGTGGCAGCAGAAAATCTGCAGGGGCCTCTGCGGAGACACTGCATCCCGGGGCTGCGATGGCTTTCATCTGAGTGTTTGTTGCAGCTGCAGCTGGAACGTTGCCTTCCACCTCTTCTCATTACCAGGAAAAAAAAATGTTGATGAACTGGAAGTTCAGAGAAAATCAGAGCAAACTGTTCAGCTCTTGGAAAGATTTTTAAGACTGGAAGGGCTAGAATTCAGCAATCTGCAGCCATTTTAAGTCTAAATGCTAGAGATAGTTGAACTATCCTTAATTAAATAGAGGAAAAAAGGAACGTTTGAAGTAGATGTTTGGAAAAGCTTCCTGGCAGAGAAAGCTGTGAGGCTGAAAAGTGTTAATACTCCTGGATATTGACATCTGTTTGGAGAGGTGGAGGGAAGCTGGAGCAAGGCAAATGCTGCTCTGCTGGTTTATTCACTCGTACAGTAGCATCATAGTGCCAACAACTTCCATCTTGACTTTCTATGCTTTTAGAATTTGAAACAATAAGAGACAGAAACTATTTTTCTATCCTGGACAGATAATCTCAATTTACTAAATATAGTGTTCAGCTGGACAGCAGTTGGGTGGGGCAGGAAAAGGCTCCTTCCACAGAAGAACCTCTCAAAAATAATAGTTCCAAATTTGCTTACCCTTGCGTCAGTACAGGCAAAATCCTCCTGATCTGCTTCTGTCTGACATGAATAGTGCTCACTGCCAGGACTGGCTCTCAGTTATCCAAGGAAGAATTCCTACCTCTGAGACCTGCTCTGAGGTCCCTCTGACGTTCTGCACATCACTCCTTAGCAGTGTGGCCATTCGCTGCAGCCCCACATGAGCACATCTCCCCTTTCTGAAGTGATTCGCGCTTCTGATGACAGCATTTAATTTTTGATGGCTTGCTCATGTCAACCCCCCCCCCCCAGTTGATACTGTACAGTAAGTGCCAGGATCTGAATGCTTTCCTTATTTTCATATAAACATCCTGTTTCCCAGTAATGTGCTATTCCAGGCTAAGTATATTAGTTGGTTAGCCCTCCTGACTGAATTACTGTTAGATTAATTGCCTTACCTGCATCACTAAAATACTCATAAGTGCAGTGCGTGTTGTGATCTTCTGCTTCAATGGACACCTATAAAACACGTGGAGCTAATGAGCTGCTTGTATCCTCTCCCTTCAGGAGGACGCAGAGCAGCTGTACAAGGCTTGCAAACGCTACGACCTTCTGAACAAGTTCTATCAGGCCACAAACCAGTGGCAGAAAGCCATTGAAACAGCTGAAGCTCATGACCGGGTTCACCTCCGCACCACTTACTACAACTATGCTAAGCACCTGGAGGCAGTCGGAGAGCATGCTCTTGCACTCAGCCTGTAAGCATCAGCCTGTGGCAGAATTGTGTTTGGGGGATTCAGAGCCTTTTTATTCTGTGAAGACTAGAAGTGGGATAGAGAGGATGCCTGGCGATGAGTGCTAACAATTAATTCTTTTTTTTTTTGGTCGCTTTTTATCTCAGCAGTGTTGCAGTCAACCTGCCTGCACTGTCCTAGGGAAATAAAGCTTATTGTCAGGAAGCCTTGTCTTGTAAGGGGCTGATTGTTGAATGCCAATAATAACCAAGTCCTGTGCTTGTCTCTGGAAGATCACAGCTACTCTCCTACCCTTTCCATGACAAAACCAACTGTTTGCTTTTGAGAGTCTCAGTCACAAATTCTATGGCAAAATTTGTTTTGGTTTGGGTGTTTCTGGTGCCCAGTCCTCTGCTGTGAGGCTGGTGAGTCCCTGGAGAAGTGTGTGGAGGTGATTTTTATGTGTTGTATTTGTTTGAAGTCCTGTTTTTATATGATTTTTACTGTGGGAAATCTCACAAGAATAATAATATTGGAAAGTTCTGCCCATTCAGCAGCAAAGTAGAGCTTCAGTGTGATCAGACAGACCCAGGTGGGCAGGAAGACAGGGACAGACTCCAGCAGTAGATGGGTGGCATCAATGCAGTCATCTCCCAGCAGTGAGGAAGAGGCAGAAATTGCAGTTTGGTGGCAGAAGTACTAAGCAAGAGGAGCACAGGGCTTTTTCTGCCTTTTCAGCCAGTTGCACAGGGGTATAGTTAGTGTTTTGAGAGCTTTCCTGGATCATTCTTCAGAGCATCACTGGTACTTTTAAAGTGTTTACAACTCTATGATCTCGTTGCCTCTGTGGTCTTAAGAGTTTTTGGTAGTTCTGGCTGATTGATAATAATCTTAGAGGAAACACATGGAGCACTGTTATCAGGGTTGCCACTTGGTAGCTCTCAAAAAATGCAAACCATGAAGTGGATTTTTTAGACAAGGAAGTGAGATTTAAGTCAGTCATTTCACATCTGATATGTTGTTTTTGTCCACAGCTATGAGAAGTCAGATACACACAGGTTCGAGGTACCCCGAATGCTCTCTGAAGACCTGCAGGCACTGGAGAACTACGTCAACAAGATGAAAGACAAGTCAGTGCTGTGCTCATTCCTTCTTCTGAGTGGGACTTTCAGCTCTGAAATACAGACTGTAAGGAGAGCAGGAAAGAAGTAGGGATCCCCTCCTCTGTGAGTTCAACACCTGCTTAGTGCCTTTTGATCCTCCCTCAGCTTTTCAGGATCATGGCACATTTCACTCAAAACTGCCACACTGGATATTTAGATTGAGCTCCCTCATAGTGCAGATCTTTGAATATCACCCTTGTATTTAGGTAAAACCTATCTGTGTTCAAAGAAAATAAATCTAGTCTTGAGTTCAAGATTTCCAGGCTGAGAAATGCATTCTCTGGCAATTCTGGTTACTGCAATTAATTCTGTTGCTTTTCTAGGAGCCTGTGGAAGTGGTGGGCACAATACCTGGAGAGCCAATCAGATCTGGAATCTGCATTAAAATACTATGCACTGGCTCAGGATTATTTTTCCCTAGTCCGTGTCCACTGCTTTCAGGGCAACATTCAGAAGGTAAAGCAGCCTGCTGCCATTTGTTTCCAGAGAATTCTCATTCCTAGGATGAGTATGGTCACAGCATAAAGATATGTGATTTCCTTTCCAGGCTGCTGAAATAGCAAATGAAACAGGAAATTGGGCGGCTTCATACCACTTGGCCCGCCAGTATGAGAGCCAGGATGAAATCAAGCAGGCTGTGCACTTCTACACCAGGGCCCAGGCATTTAACAATGCCATTCGCCTGTGTAAGGTATGGAAAGACACACGTTGTTATGTCCAAACCTGAGGTAGGATTCTGCCCTTAGGCAGCATACAGAGTAGAAGTGGTACAAGAGATCTGTTTCATTCTCTCTTGTGATATATTGCTTTTTCATGAAGATGGTCCCAGTTTCTGCCTGCGTCTTCTACAAGGATACATCATTACAAAGGGTTGTGTGGGACTGAGTGTTTTCTTGTCCTACATGTCAACAGAGAACTGTCTAAAACAAGCTATAGTTGTTGCAGCTCAAAGCCATTGGAGTTGCTATGGGTTTTCCATAGAAGGTGGTTGATGGGCTGCTATATGACAGCACAAAGCCGAAAGCTTGAAAGGAGGCAGGCTCATGAAGTCAGTTTGCTGCATACCGAGACCCAAATCTTTGCTTTTGAACAGGAGAACAATTTAGATGACCAGCTGATGAACCTGGCTCTCCTAAGCTCTCCAGAAGACATGATAGAGGCAGCCTGCTATTATGAGGAGAAGGGAGAGCAAATGGACCGAGCTGTGATGTTGTACCACAAGGTAAACGACTCCTTAGTAAGAATACCAGACATTAAACTGATGCTGTTTCTACAGCAGAGGAGCATTTAATCAACTGTGTGATCTGATTATGTACAATTATCAGTCATTTCTTCACTCTGACACTCTGTTAATCCACACTAGGGTATCTGGTAAATTCATTCTGCAGTGCTTCTTCTAGTACTTAAAGTCTCGTCCTTAATTTCACAGGCAGGACACTTCTCCAAAGCACTGGAGCTAGCCTTTGCCACGCAGCAGTTTGGAGCCTTACAGCTAATTGCTGAAGACCTTGATGAGAAGTCAGACCCAGCTCTGCTAGCTCGCTGTTCTGATTTTTTTATTGAACATGCTCAGTATGAGAAGGCAGTGGAATTGCTGCTCACAGCCAAAAAGGTGAGCTCTGCCTTCCTGCTCCCTCTGTGCACCAATAGAGAGGAGCACAACAAGTGTGCACATGCATACACTCACGTCTCTCTTTGTCCATAAGCTCCTACACAAAAACATTTGTAAGCTTTAAGTTTTCTTTTCAGACTGATGAGTCATGAGGTGGCAGCCCGCTGCCTTAGGTCCAGAAATGGATCCCTGGCTTTGTCTTATTTCTGGCACCTGCACAGACTTTGCATTCTTGGAGGAAAAATAGAATTCCTACTGTTTAAATATATTTGGAGATGGAGAGATTATATTATTATCAGTCAAAAAAAAATAAAAATAAATCAGTGGTATCTGTCCCAGCACCAAATGTAGCTATAGTGCTTCCTTTTTTACCTGAAGTCGTTGCCCTCATTCTTGTGCTGGCAGTTCAGCCTTACGAAAATTCTGAGTCCCAAAGCAGTCAATTGTATCAATTTGCTGTGACTCACTTTCTCCCATAGTTAGCAAGGGCACAGTAGCTCTTTTCTGGCTTAAAAGGAAATAGCTATGGTGTATCCTATTCCTTTGTTTCTGTATTTGAAGTAAGAAAATATTTGATGAAATACTTCAAGTACCTGTATTCTTTTATTTGTATTTGCTGAAAAACCTTCATGTAATCAACCATACTGAACAAATCTGACTCAGATGTCTCTGGTAACATCGCATTAGAAGAAAAAATTGATAACTCTTTTCTGCCACTTAATGATGTCCTCTGAGAAAAGAGATGAGAAATCATGTTCTTAGGGGAAGAACAAATACGTTCTTAGCAGAAAAAAATGAGTGTATGCTTGAATTTGAGTTGCTGTTAGGACACTTTGCACAAGCTTTCTAATTAGATAATAGACATCTGCTTGCTTTGTGCCTTCATATAGCTAATTTCTAAAAGTTACACCACAAACAATGTGAAATAGCACTGCAGTACTTGCAGCAGCTCATTGCTTTCTCATTTCCATTAGTACCATGAAGCTCTGCAGCTCTGCCTGAAGCAGAACCTGACCATCACAGAGGAGATGGCTGAGCGGATGACAGTCTCTAAGGACTCCAAGGACCTCTCTGAGGACTCCAGGAGAGAACTGCTGGAGCAAATTGCAGACTGCTGCATGAGACAAGGCAATTACCACATGGCAACCAAGAAGTACACGCAAGCTGGAAACAAATTAAAGGTCAGTTGGGACAGGTAGAAAAAACAGCTAAGGAGGCTGAGCCTCTTACCTTTATACAGTTTTACAAGAGTGATTTAAGAGGTAGGTCTTGGAACAGTCCATAGGCTGTCCAGATGAGGTTTCCCAGTCATTTTAGCATTGTTTGATTTTTTTATTCACAATATTTTCTCTCTCTGTTCTCCACCCCCATCCATTGTTAGGCTATGAAGGCACTGCTGAGATCTGGAGACACAGAGAAAATTGTCTTCTTTGCGGGAGTCTCCAGACAGAGAGAGATTTACATCATGGCAGCCAACTATTTGCAGTCACTGGACTGGCGTAAGGACCCAGAGATTATGAAGAACATCATCAGCTTCTATACCAAAGGGAGGGCCCTGGATCTGTTGGCAGGATTTTATGATGTGTGTGCTCAGGTACACCCAGCTTCTGTGAGTCTTCAAGGTGTTTAGTTTGTTAGCTGTGGAATAAGAGCCTCATCTGAATCTCTCTTCCTGCAGGTGGAAATTGATGAGTATCAGAACTATGAGAAAGCACAGGGAGCACTGACAGAAGCGTATAAATGTCTTTCAAAAGCAAAGACCAAAAGCCCTCTGGAACAGGAAAGCAAACTAGCACATTTGCAAAGCAAGATGGCTCTGATAAAGCGATTCATCCATGCTCGGAGGTGAGTTGCAATGTTTGGAGCATGTAGACAGAAGTATCATGCAAGAGGAAGACATTCACAATTCAATAAATCAGTTGCAGAAGACTCACTTCTATAAGTGATTGTTATATTTTTGTAGCAGGGAACCATAGGTGATTTTAAAAGTGATGTTGGGATTCAAGACCAAAGTATAACCTGAAGTATGTGTAACTGTTGACTTGGGGAACCACAGCCATCTTGTGCACGGTACAAGAATCTTTCCCGTGCTTCACATGGCAAGCTGAAAGTCCTCCCCCACATGATTTTTGTTTGCTCTTTTGCTAGGGTTTACTCTGAGGATCCCAAAGAAGCAGTCAGACAGTGTGAACTTCTCCTGGCTGAACAAGATCTTGACGACACCATCCGTCAGGGTGATGTCCTGGGATTTCTGGTTGAACATTATTTACAAGTGCAGGAATTCCATGTGGTGAGTTGATTTTCAGTTCTTACACACTAAAAAGCCCAAACTTTATGTACAGCAGTACACTTTGTCAACTGAAGATCTCCTCAGCCAGGCTCTGAGGATGGATGCTTTTCACCTTCTTGCTGGGAGCTGTAGAAGCAGTACACCCTCCTCCCTGTAACAGTGATTTCTGTGCTTTCCTTTAGGCTTACCAGTACCTGGAACAGATGCGGAAAAGAATTCCATGCACAAACCTGACTTACTATGTCAAGCAGCAGACGATTGAGGCAGTTCACCGAGGAGCAGGAATTCCCATCAGCCAAGCCTTGGTTCCAGAGCAAAGTCGGCAGAGCAGTGTGGAGAACAAGGACGTGGAAGAAGAAGTGGCTGATGAAGTGGGAGGCCCCTGACACCTCATAGTTGGCAGTACCAAGACTGACTTGAGCACTACATCATTTATTCTGTAGTCTTAAGGGGGTCACAAATCAGTCAGCAAACTGCTGCAGCAGATTCTTTTGGTTATTACCAAGAAATTTATTTTTTTTCTGCTTGACTCTACAAGCAACAGTGATGGATTATTTTAAACACTACATCCAAAAAGCAGACTGTACCCTGTACCTAGCCTGGTATGAATCTAGTTTTTGTATTTTAATAAAGAAAAATTTTTAAAAAGAGCTGCACATTGCAAGCTCAGGCCTTGTTTGAGGAGGAAGTAAGGTGAAAAATTGTGAGGTGACCAAATTCTCAGATACAGATGCCAACATACTTCTCTTTCCTTCTGAAAACAACCTCAGTTCCACGTGGCCAGGAGCTTGGGCAGAAGTCAAACCACTGCCCTTCTACTGCACGCTCTCCCCACCTCAAAGGTTTATTTAAATATTATAGGGGCCATCCAGGCTGGAGCTGTGGTTTACAAGAAATCTGGACTAAGCCTCTGAATCGTAGAGTGGTTGAGTTTGGAAAGGACCCCTAGATGTCATCTGGTCCTACACTCCACCACCTGTCCCTGAGCAGGGTCACCTACAGCCAACAAAGCTTCTCACTGCTCTGTACACGTCAGATTTTAGAATGGAAGTTTCCTTCTGGCACAAATGGGACCAGCCATCCATGGAACATAAAGCCAACATCAATAACCAAGGGCTCACTGATCTTTCAGTGTCTTATGGTGCCCCATGGAAGTGTCATGCACAGAGCTTCCAGATTAATGAGCCCTTCTGCTTACAGTGATTTTGATGATACTTGATGATGACCTGGTCATTATTGTGACCAGGAAAGCTTTGAATTGTATGCACTCAGGGAAGAAAGGTGAAGGAACATTTTAAGATCAGAATCTGGTCCTCAGTTACTTTAGAAGAATCTCCATTCTGTAAGCGTATTATACAGAAAGAATTAATTACTTTGTTCCTTCCTCACCCCAGTGCAGCTCTAGCTCAAACCTTTAACGCTTGGCAATTTATTTCAGAACTTCACTGCAGCTATTCAGCGCTTCCATCTCTCAGGGTCATCCCCTACACCACCTCCCCCTTGAAGCAGCAGCCCTCCAATGCTGCTAGAGGATGGAAGCCTTTGTCAGGGGATGTCACAGACAGCCCTGGGAGGTAAGTGGCTGCTTCCAGCCCTCCTGTTTTTCTGACAAGAAGTCTGCTATGAGATCTTCCCTGTATTTTTAGCAGAGCATTCAAACCTGCCAAGGTTATAAATAGCTGGGGTGGGGGCTGGGGGCGAGGGGAGGATGGCAGCGCTCGCCTACCTTCCTGCATCTGTACACCCCGTACCGGATAGCAATAGCTCACTAAGTTGGCCTCCACTACAAAGTCCAGATGTCAAGTCAGGTTCGCTGGCGTACAGCACTGCACCCTTCCCCCTTCTTCCTCTTCTCCAGCCAGGTGACTGCTGAAGAGGCCCCAGCAGTGCCTACACAAGTCCAGCTGGCAAGAGGATGAGGTTAAGGTCATTTCTTTTGCCCTTCAGCTAGGAAGGGGCAGTTTCCAGTTTCTTCTTCAGGTTCTCCATTAGTAGCAAGTTCTGCAAGGCCAACCTCCTGCAGTCCCCATCTGGATCTTTCTCTACCACATCTGTAAAAGAACATGCCAAGCTTAAGTTGGAAAATGGAGTAAAACACACTGCTCTTCACTCGACGTGTCTGTAAGGTTACACTGACCATCACAGTGCTAAAGGCAACAGCAAGACATCTGCCATCATGCCAGAATTCACACTTCTCCCCTTGCGCTATCCAGAACCATTCTGTAGCCCACCCACTAGCATGAATACAGTCTGCAGTTAAAAATACACTGATTCAGAAGCCTAAAGTCTCAATTCTGGAATTCCTAAACAACTGCTCAGTGCTTCTTCCTGAATGTAGTCACAGCACTCTTGAACTGGAAGAAAGGAACTTCAATGCCTGCTTCTTTAACACAATTTTCCTTCTGCTGGTCTTCTGCTAAACTAGTACATTTTTTTATGCTTCATGGAGAATGAAAGGGAGGGGACGAAGCTGCTTCAAGCAGCTGTTATTTCAGGGGCCCTTACAGAGCCTGCAAAGCACAAACCAGGATGCACGCAGGATGTCTGAGCAGGGGGAGCCTGGAAGAGCAGAGAGCCTGTGCAAGGATATCCTGTACGCACAAGCAGTGTGCTCAGAGCCCAGCACTGTCAGCCCAAACACATGACTCATTCAGATTGAGCAGAGCTATTTATAAACTCAGGGAGAACTTCACTGCAGTGTTTCCACACTCCCTCTACAGAAGGAGAAAACGGGAAGGCTACAAGACAGCTTACTGCAAGCTCTTAAGTTAAGAGACTGACGTTGGCACTGCTTCTAATTGCATGAGCACAGACCTTGAATTGCTGCCACTTGGGGGGCACTAAGATACACCCAGCTCATTTCATCAAATAAACTTACCCAGCACAGCTCCACAGGACTTGTGAGGCTGGGGGGGGGGGAGGAGAGGGGAGGGAATTCCCTCAATTCCTCAGCAGCTGCCTTTGAAGGAGTAGTTTCCTAGAAATGCTCAGGTATTCCCCTCAGACATGACTGTCACAAAGGCAGGTCTCCAATGCCTGACCTCATCTGCAGGAGCAGCAAGGAGGAGCCCAGAACCTCCCAGGGAGAGCTCTTTTACCAGCAAAGCCACAGCCCAAGAACTTGTGTTTCAGGAAGAAGCTACATAAGGAGCTTCCACTGCAGTGAAGCTCTCCCTGAATTTATAAGGCTTCTCCAATTTCCAAGCAACAGCACCACATGAAAAGCCTATTACACTGCCTACAAGCACAAAAAATGCTTCTAACCCTGTTCTCTTCCTTCCAACTCATTAAAACCAGACCACACACACCCCTCATTCTGAAAAGGGCCACAGCATTCCTGGAAAGGCTTTACTTGGTAATAGCAGTGGTTAACAGCAGAGACAAGCAGATTCTTCAGAGCACACCATGTCATGGGGAAAGTAAAGCTTTGGCCCCACAAGGCAGCTCTCTTTCTCTTAAAGGCCACAGAGCTCTGCTGCCCATGAGGATCTGAGGCCGCCTGTGTCAGTGCTGCTTCCTGCCTGCTCCTTGGGGGAAGCCAGCTCACCAAGAGGGGCAATGGCGAAGGAAACCAACCAGGGAGTCACACAAGGGCCACACAGAACAGTGCAGGCTCCAGGAGCACAGATCACACAGCATCATTTCCTCTTGTGCTTGCAGCACACTGCAGTACACAACCATGTACTTGTGCAGTTCTAGCTGTGCACTATCCATAAAAATTTGCACATATTGTTCAGCACAAGCTGCTCTCTTTCACAGGCTGTTATTTCCTTCAGCAATAGGATGTCAGGAGATGGGGCTCTTCCTCCTCCTATAGAATGTGCACTTAGCATAAGACAGCCACATAAGCCTTGCACGTCACTGCTGGTTAGTCACTGCCTGGCTGCAATGTGCAACGTGACAGCGTTCTGCAGCTTCATGAGAGGAGTGCTTGGAGGCTTAGGCAGAGAGGGGAGTGCACACTTTTAAAGCGATGCAAACTGCAGCACTACCCAGAAAAACACTGACATTCCCCACCACATCTCACCTTCCAGCCAGGACCGAGTCTCCAGAATTTCCTCCGTCACATCTTGCAGAAGATGCTCTGCAGGAACACTGAGGAGTATGGAGGAGACACAGGACAGAAGCCCCTGGCGCACGTACCTGTAGGAGAAAGGCAAACCAGTCAGAACCTGCAGCTTTCTGCTCTACCTTGAGTTGCTTCTTATGGCTCACCTCAAGGCTTCTCCAGTTTCCACTATTTGTGATTATAAAATCATAGAATCACAAGGTTGGAAAGGACCTACAAGATCATCTAGTCCAACAATTCTCTACTACCATTGCTACCACAGGCCTCTAAACCGTATCTCATAGCTCCTCATCTAAACTTATTATGATAACCATTGCCACCTTCCTACTAATTAGGAGTGTAATTATGTACCAGTTGGCATGCCACTCACATACAGAGCCCCTGCCACACTGGAGCTCAGAGTGCATAGCACACAGAGACCTGGAAAAGTCTGAGGTTAAAACAGAACTTGTGTGTTTACAGCATTTTTGCTACGTGTTAATTTCTTTCCAAGTTGAATGCTGGAGCTGCACCTAAAGTTCTCTGAGCTTCTTCAGCTGAAAGCATTACAAGGAGAGTTGGAGGAACGTGCCACGCTTTTTATAGGTAATGACTGTACCTCCTCACTAGAAGACGCCAGCTAAATACCTGTTTGTTTGACATTAAAGCCATGATTTCATTACACACTCTAGCAATGCTCAAAGGAGCACAAGGCCAGAGGTCAGCATTGAGAAGAATGGGTGAAGTCATTGGCATTCCCAGCCAGGTGCTGGACAGGACAAGGACAGGACAGGCTGTGGCAGGCCACAACAAGGGATCTTTAAAAACAAATGCACACAGCTACAACTCACGAGTCAGTGTGGAAACGCAGAGCCCAAACAAACTCCAGCAGTGCCTTTCCCATTGTAGTAACTGCCTGTAAAACAGGATTATGACAAACACTGAATACCTTCACATTCACATGCCTTCAAAGGACTGGATCTTGATACACATTGCTGTGAACATCAGGGTTAACAGTTATTTTACAGAAGAGAAAACTGAGGCGGTCAAAAGAATTGATGTGCTCATCTTCTATGGGAAGTTGAAAGAAAAACTACCAGAAGCAGCAGAAGGAAGTGCAGGGATGCCTGAATCCCACGCCTCCTCTCTGATCATCTTTTCTCAGCCCTTTGAAGACTCCTCAGCAAGTGACCCAAACTCACTGCAGGCCTCAGAGCCCACTGCTGTGTCTGACAGCACCTCTGAGCTCCCAGGCTGGAACTCACTCCACACAGCCTTCCTTACCATGGTGTTGACAGCCAGGTACATCAGGACTGCTAAAGTGTGGACCAGTCTTCCAAGGACAAAGTGATCTTCCCCCAGGAGATCAAACGTTGACAAAGGCCTGCAAGTGCAAGATACAGTTCTGAAACAGTGACAGGGATGATCTCTGGAATGGCTGGAGTGGTTGTGAAGAGCAAACTGTCCCACACAAATCTGAACTCCTAAAACAGCAGTCACTTCACAGAGTCCAATACAGACCACAGCTGCTTGCTCCCAGACCAATAACATCCTCTCCAGTGAGGATCACTTGCTTGACCAGCAGCCTGGCTTTATTAGAAAGAACTGCATGCAAAAGCTAGCACTGCTGCCATCCTAGAAACAAACCATTAAGACAGATATTACAAGAATCTTGATTCCTGTGGAATCAATTACTGACCCTTCCTTTAGTAAACAAAGACTTGAGTGATTGACAATAACGTGTGTCCTGTAACATGATGCAGTTAATTTCTGTTAAAGAGGGCAGCCTGAGTTCTGTGGCTTTGTATGAACTCCTCAAGGCCAGCCAAGGTGCTGTTGGATACTGCAAAAATCATCACCCTGTGGACCTGCTGACAGGCTATGCTTAGTAATGCATTCACTTATTGCAGGGTCTCACATATTCCCATCCAAGAAAACTGCATTGGATAAGTGGAAGAGCAGAAAATCTTCCTCAGTATGCTTTATCCATGAGCCAGGCGTCAGTGTGGTGTCACAAGACTTCCACACAATCTCTAGGCTCTATTCTGCTGCTCTGAGACAAGCAGAACAAGCAAGAGATTCACTTTCGAGTTGTCAAGCCCACATCCCAAGGTGTTCACTCACCTGTCAAAGTTCTGGATCAATGGAAAAAAGAAGTGTCCAGCAAGAGAATTGAACTCATTTGGACGAGAAGGCTGTTCCACTTGAGACTGCCCCTGTCCAAAAGAAAAATAAAGTCTAGACACAAGCAGCACCCATAGCTCTACATTCATCTACTGCAGCCATCCCACTGCCAGCTACAGCTTACTTGAACACCTACGGCTGCTAGTTTCCAGGCCAGTCAACTCACTCTCCACTTCAGATCCTCTCACACATCCAAATGTTTCACTATAATATATCTCAGTACAGCTGGGTTACATATAAAAAACAAGAAGGGAGTTTTGGAAAGGAAGTCCTCCAGGATGAACCACTGGGGAATCACAGGACCTAGGAAACTGGCAATAATTTATCTCCCTGAAAAAGAGAGGAAGTCTGAGACAGTCCACTCCAGATGCAGCTGCACTGAAGGAGGATGCCCTGGGATCTCTGAGGTGCAGCCACAGCTCCCTGCAGTGGCCAGACAAGCTCAGAACATGCAAAGAACTGCTAGAGCTATCCTTCAATGCGAGACAAGGAGACCAAGATTTATTCTCATTCTCCTCCTGGGAAAGGACTACAGGATTTGGTACTTCCTATGGAAAAAAATTTAGCAAAATACTAAAGTGAAAGTGACATTTTAAGTTATCCAGTCCTGCCTTTGGATTGGGCTCAATTTCACATGTATTTTGCTCTTTCCAGATAAAACTACAGCAAGCCCTCCTGTCCTTGTTTCTGCTGGATTTGACATTTGTTTCTGCCATGGCCTCACCTTAGCAAACCTCCTCATCTTGCTTTTGATTCTCTCATCAACAATTCTTCTCCAGTCCTTGGAGCTGCCACTCTCAGGAAGGACCTGGATACGAGGGTTTTGGGCACCAGAATATTTGGTCTTCCCACGGCCTTTGGCACAGGACAGTTCCTGAGCTGCTAAAACCAATACCTAGATGATAAAGAAGAGGGGATGTTGTGTTAAAATAGGGATAATCTGTACTGAGGAAACAAGTTAACATGCACCCAAACCAACAGGAACAGCAAGGCAGAAAGACACAAGTTTAGAATTAAGAACTGCAAGGCAAGCAACTGAAACCCAGTCAATGGACTCTGAGGTAATGGTCCAAACTCTGCCCTGAAACAGAACAGCAGCTCCTTTTTCAGTAACATGACATGGAAAGAGGACAGGCAGACTGCTGACTTTCAAAAAGCGAAGAGATCTCAGAATGATGACATGTCAGGAGAAAGTGGCTGCCTTATGGCAAAAGATCATCACACATTTTTCATTCTGTGGGCAACGATTGCTGCTTAATTCAAATATAACAGAGTTAAGAGCAAGAGAGGAATGGCAGGCACAAACAGTAACTAAGAGTCTCCCATGCCTTTGCTTCCTCCTCACCTCTCCTACAAGGAATTAAGGTCACCCCATTACATCTTAGGAACACTGCACTGGTGCAACAAAGACGTGACAGAAGTGGGAAGCAAAGGAAGAGCGCTTACATCGAGAATATCCATGCGCTGACGAAGACTGTAGTTCAGAGAATAGAACTGGGAGGTCAAGTACTGTGCTACCTGTGCAGAAAAATCAATTAACAGTGAGCACAGTCTGTAAACAGCCTTTCTACTCACTATAAACATTCTAAATTCTCCATTGGCAATGCCCAGTTTCCTGTTAGCTAACAACAAGACTCTGAGATTGGGGAAGAAGAGCACTCTATGAATAGGGGAAATCAAATACGTACACTTCTAGATACTCCCAAAGGAAGTAAACAACTAATGGGACTTCGCTATTCCTCTCTTCCCCCTATGCAGAGGTATTCAAACAGCTGATTACAAACACCAGGCTTCTTTTAGAGAAGCCCAGGGTGCCTCAGCTTCCACCTACATAAAGCCATCTTCCTTTAGTGCAAGAGTCCTTATCTAATTTGTTTCACCAGGTACACCCATACACACAATGTCCTTTAGCCTGTTACAGCTCTTGAACAAGCTTCTGCTTTCCTGATATTTGTTATCCATTCCAGATCCTTCAGTGCCTAGCCCATCTCTGAGGCACTGCCAGATTTGAAACAGCTCTTCATACTCTGAAGCTGCTTTTGCCAAACCAGCAAGAGACTTCACCTCCTTACATTTTTGTCTGTGCCTGAACTGGAAAAAAGGAAGCAGTAAGAGGGACTAACAGGTATTGGATCAGTGGTTAAAACAGCTACTTGTGCCTTCTGACGGAGCTCTGCAAAGCCTTCCAGGCAGGTCTTCTCCTCCAGATGCAACAGTATTTTTGCCAGCTCCACACTAACCTGCTCAAAGTAAGACAAAAGGAATCATGTCACTGCAGGTGTTATCCTTCTCACAGGTTTTACAGGTTACCATCCACCTTCCACTTCTGATGCTTTAGCACAGAGGGAACAATATAGGCAACAACATGCCCTTTACTCATGAGGGAGAAATAAAACAGCAAGATAAATATCATCAAGACGGATTTCTCAAAACACAGAACAAAACCCTAAGCTGATTTCTCTATCCACGTTCATTTTTCACTTCAGCTTTTTAGATAAATGCTAACATCATGAGATAGGAAGACCTGTCACTACAATTCATGAATTAAATCCCATCTTTAGGTGTTCTCTGCCACGTCGTTCTGAGCAGTCACCACATCAGCATCTTTGTCCTAAGTTCCTTTCACTCAGGCTTTTAATTTAGGTAATACAACCCACCTGCACCCTTATTAAGGAGCTACATTTGTACAAGCAAAGAGCAGAAGTCCATCTGATTTTATTTCATTTTTGTTGGGAAATACCAATTAATTCTATTTCAATTCAGTATCAGTTACATCCAAAATTAAAATTATTTTATCTACAGGATTCATGGCTGCTCTACGTGTTGCCTTTCCAAAGCTTTTTCTGCCCAGCACAAAGCATGGAACTTGCCCTGCTGCCCCAAGTGACTGCCAAAGTCTACTTCCAAACACATTTCTTTTTCAGTGCTGGAGCTGCTCAGTGCCACACTGCTGCCTTCACTTTTGCCTGCTTCTTTGTGCTCTGTAGCCTCAGCTCAAAAGCAACTACTTCCTTCTATTTTCCTTCCCAAGCTGAAAGCTCAAAATTCAGACACGCATTGGCTCAGTGGGTTGCTCTGCTGGGAAAACTGATCTCCTCACAAGAGCAAAGGGACAGCCCTGTACCAGAGCCCACTGCTAATTATTAGCTCACACTGCTTCACCTCTCTTGCTGCCGCTGGATTCTTTCGAACCAAGCTCTCAAGAGCCTTGACAGCTTCTTCCCATTTGTCCAGATCTTCAGAACCTGTCAGAACTGAAGGCAAACAGAAGGCAGACAAGACATTAACAGAATGGTTCTGCTCAGGTATATGCCCCAACTTTCCTCTGACAGCAGTTTGTCTGTCAGCACAGCTGACCCAGCACACAGCCAGCATTAGGAGCTAGACTACAGTTCTTTATGAATGACAGTTTAGCACTTGAGCCCAGATAACTGAAAAAATACAGCTTCTCTGGATGAGGTCTGATAAAAACAAACCTAATGAGACCACTCTCCCCAAAACAATAAGAACAAGATGAAGACTCAGCCCAAAATCTCATACCTTCAATACAGTCTCGAATATACACTGGAGCCTTAGTCTTCTTCAGTTCTTTATCCTCTGACATGTCGTAAGGTATAAGGTCATCATCACTGTCAACAAAATAAAGGCAGGAGTTAGCCCACAGGGGAAGGCTATTCTTTGCCCAGCTGACCTCAAGGAAGTAAAAAAACAGCACAAACACCACTGTTACACCACTACTACTGCAATGCAGAGCAGCATGGCTGGAGCCCAGGCTAAAGGGGCTCCTCGGGAAGTTCTATGAATGACTCTGTAAGCAGATCTCCTGGCCAAGTGGAGGTAGGGGTCAGGAGACCCAGAGGCATGGAGCTGATTCTTGAGATTTCTTTATATATTTGTAAAAAGCCAGAATAAGACAGGTCCACTAATAAAATGGGTACATATATCAATAAATCCAAGAAATGTCTCATAAGTCAATCAAACTGAATGAATACAATGGTTGTACCTGACAGGGGCTTTGCTCCAGTTATTGACAAACATTCTTGCATGCAGTTTCCTACATGATGTCTTACTCTGCTGAATACAACTCAGCTGAACAAGGTCTGCTCCCTCATTCTGATCAGAAAGAACAAAATTTGCTCCCTCTTCTCCAAGACTGCTCGTAAGAACCTACTATTTCTTTTCCATTTCCTACCAGCTTCTTGACCCATACCTGTCAAGCTCAGAATCTGACTCCTCATCTGGCAGCAGGTGAGTCGTTGCTGTAGGTGATTTGCTATTACTTTCCAGTACTGGTGGCAGTGCAGCCTCTGCATTCTCATTCCTGCCGAAAGCAACGGGAAACAATAAAACCAATAAGGTAACAGCAAAAAGCTACCAGCACCATCAAAGCTCTACTGCCTCAGTAGTATGGCAAATACTCGTCTCTGTGTTGTCCCATCCACACAAGGAAGGAAGTCCTGAGACAGAGAATGGGGTGAGGGGAGAAGCAGAATCTCACAGCTGAAAAGTAATAGAAAACTGAACTTGAGTTAGCTCATTTGCTGCATTCTCCCTCTGCTAAGCTGTACGTAGGATTGCTAAGGAAGGACTCATCTGTGGTAGGTAGATTACAACGGTCTGGAGATCATCAGTGACACTGAACAAATGGGGAACAAGGATCTTAAACCACTCCTAAAGGGACACATGCAATAAAGTATTTCTTTGGACTCTGGTATGTTGTTTAATCTCTCTATTTCTCAAATGCTGTCTATGCTGACTACACCACTAAAACAGGAGCATTACATCTTCTATAATTCAATGGAGTGCTGGACAGCTTCATTTGCTAATAACATTAAGTGATTGATTTATCTGTTGTTAAGAATAAGTGCTTCAAGAGCTGCAGCAGACGCCATGAAAGTAAAGAGCACCACAGAACCAGAAATGGTCAACTGACAGATAGTCCATATTTTTCTTACTGCTGAATGGCCATAGAAGATCTCTCAGATGCAGACAGAGAGGCCCATACAACTCTATTCAGGGGAACATAAAATCCCTAGAAACTGCAGCACGGTTTCACTATGATCAGCTGTCAAACAATGCAATTCTAACACACGCTGCAATTTGAATTGTGAATTTAAAATAATTATATTGCATTATAACAACAGTGCATTGCAATGCTTCGTAAAAATATAAAAGACATCTTGAATACCACGTATGGTCTTAGTGTACAATTCAAAAAAGGTACACAGAAAGACAAAAAGAATGATCAGGGGTTCAAAATTGATTACATACAAGGAATGACTAAAAAGGTGAGGGTTTGTCTGGAAGGGACAGTGATCAACAGAAAAGGCATAAGGAGAATTAAAAAGTCAAATATCAAACAACACATCTTTTCCAGATGCAGTCCCTAAAGTTTATCATGGGGAAAAAAAAATAAAATCAAACATAACTTTTCCAGTTACTCAGTACGTTTTTTGTATTTGCTACATGGAAATGAAGAGCAGCAATATCTTACTCATTGTCTGGAAGACCTGGGAGGACACTGAGTGGCGCAGGTTGTACCAGAAGGGACTTCAGTTCTCTTGCTTCATCATCTTCTTCATACTAGACATTCAGAGTAACTGTTACTGCACTCTAAGATGACAAACATGCCCAGCATGCAACACCTGACCCCTCTGCACTGTGCAAATGAGGACTGAATCGTCCTCAGCAGAACAAACAATGATCCCTTTTGTTTCAATCACTACCAGCAGTAACACTAAAGCTGCACAGAGATCAGTGCCATGCATAATCTTCCCCCCTGTGTTTCATGGTAGTACTTGGTCAGACCTTGTCTCAATGTTATTTATAATCTTTAAAATGTTTCGTAAGTGGCAATGCAACAAGGAGAATGAATCAGGTTTTTAAAGAACAAATGGGATTTTATCACATCATTCTTATAAACTCTACTGGCAATAACATGGCAAAGATCCCCATGTTAATCTTAAAAATCTCAGCTCAGGGCAGGTGTTCCCAGCATGTCAGGGAACACACACTCACCACCCTCAGCTCCTGAAGGTCAGACTGGGGTTTCCTCATGCAATGTGACAATCCTCCAGTGGTCCAATACTTATTAACAGTTTACCATAAGCTTAGCCATCAGATTACACTCCTCGGGTCACCCTTACCCATCCACCTGGTTTTCATGCAATTCCTTTTTGTAATCAGGCAACCTCTCTTTTGGAAAACATCGCTGACTCTCCTTACTTCCAGATAATAAGTGTTAGAAGGTCAGATATTAGGAGGAAGTTTTTCACACACAGGGTGGTGAGGCACTGGAACAGGTTGCCCAAGGAGGCTGTGGATGCCCCATCCCTGCAGGCATTCAAGGCCAGGCTGGATGTGGCTCTGGGCAGCCTGGGCTGCTGGTTGGCGACCTGCACACAGCAGGGGGTTGGAACTGGATGAGCACTGTGCTCCTTTTCAACCCAGGCCATTCTAGGATTCTGTGCTAACGCCCTGGCTCACCTGGTTTTAAACTTGTATTCCCTCTGTGCCCCACATACCAGAGAGAAATTTCACTATAACCTTTACCTGAAACTTGAGGACGGGCCCATCCGTGTTAATCTTTGAACTAATGCTCTCTGCCACTATCATCCCCAGGCGCCGTATCTGTGGCAGGCTGCTATCCAGGTGGCACTTCACGCCCTCCATCATGCTCGTGAGAAGTTCTGAAGAACACAGACAGCACATAAACAATGCCAGAGCCAAATGTGTGCCTTTACAGCTCATCCAGTGAAGGGAAGAAAGGTAAGAAGGGCCTAAGAAACCATGACTTCTGCCTGCAATGGCAGTATTTCCCTTCAACACCAATATACTGAAGCCATGCTTTTTTGTGGGCACACAAGCACACGTTACAAACATATTCTAAATTTGGAATATTTAGTTTTTCACTGGTACAAAAAATATCCTTAGCTCATGTTTAGAGCTTTTAAACTGGGTAAGTGAAATACTACGTCATGAAGAAATTCTGGCCAGTGCAATAATCAGAGGGAGGAATTTCCCTCATCACCTAGGTAAGCTGACACAGGTAACTAACATCAGTATTTCTCAGCCCAGAAAGAACTGTGACTGCCATCCTTCTCTGGCAGATCTACTATCAGCTCAGAAAAGCTCATCTGTTCAGCAGCTGCCAGAGAGAAGACAGGTTATAAAACTCCAGCACCTCTAGGCAGTAACAGGTCTCGTGAAGTAGAATGAACTCCAGCCTGAAATGGGCAAAACAGGTCATCCAAGTCAACCTTCCAACAAGTGAAAAACAAAGCCACACAAGAAGCAACCCTAAAAATTGGACAGATATTATTTTTCTTGCAATAGAAGTTTTAACTTCAGATCAGAACCCCACTCTGCTACACATTATATAATTACAAGACAGTCCTTGCCTGTAACTCACTATCACTACTCACCTAACAAGTAAGCACACTGAGGGGAGCAGAAGAACACAGGAATGCATATGGACAGAGCCCAGCCAAAAAATCTTGGTGCACTTCCCTCCCATCTCCTTTTGAAGTGTTACTTGTGCTCCATTACCAAGAAAATTTAATCACATGATTCCTCTATCCAGTTCCAGAATCAATCCAAATTTTTTTGAGACAAAACTTAAGGGTTCCTAGGGCCACTATTCAGATAAGAACTTTAGTTCAATGATACCCATCTCCATAATTTAAAGCTACGTGCTTGGAATCATTTTGTATCACTGATAAAGGAAAAGGATTCCAGCAGGATACCCGGCTTGACAGCATGAAGACAGGATGAAACATTTTGTTTACCTACACATCAAAACAAGATCATTTTCTCTTCCCAGTCAGATTTTTTGTTAAACACATCCATGCCTCACTTCTGCCACCTCACCTTGTCTGCAGCTCTCTATTTCGGGTTCCTTCAGGTGAGAAAGGCAGATAAGAATGGCCTTACTAATGTACTGCTGCTGCTCCACTGGAGAGTGTTTCACTGCACTGCTGCTGCCCCAGGTCTCCAACAGCTCTTGCAGCACCTGAATCAAAGTATAAATAACTGTTTATCTAAATTATCTTGAAACAAATCTTTTTCACATGTAAGTCATACAGCACATGACACATTATGATGATCCATAGGTCTTAATCCCTCTCAGTGCAGTTAGCTTCCCTACCTACAGTGCTAACTTTGTATTTCAGAGATGTATAAACGGTATCGTGCTTGACCAGCTGAGAAGTCCAGACCACCTCCCTTTAATATCTTGTTAAATATAATATTTTTGAATGATAAATACATTTATTTTTCTTAAACACAGTATCATACTGCTTTCTGACATATCGTTCTGCATATTATCTGTTTTCATATAATGTTTCCAGTTCAGTGTTCAAAGAGCAGCTGCCAGCGCTCTCAGATTTTAGAGTTTGTAACCACTGACAAAAACAAACAAACAAACAAACAAACAAAAAAACCCCAACACATCAAAATGATAACAAAACAGTGGTGATTTCCAGAAATACTAACTTCCTAGACTAGTACACTGCTAAACTGGAGAAAGAAAAAATCTGTATCCCCACTGAGGTTAAGGGAGAAAATGAGAGATTCTGAAGCATCAACCGTTCAGCACAGATAGCTCAGAACCAACTCCAGCACTTTCCCCACCTGTCACAGCTGAGAGAAGCTGAGGAGGACAAAGGACATCTGTAACAATCCAGGACTTTGCAGTTTTGCTATACGGAGGACAATTTGCCAGCTGGATATGAAAAGCATCAGCAGTGCAGAACATCTTTGGTATTTCACAATGTATTTGTTTTGCACCAGTCAGCATCACAGGGCTGCCATTGCTCCCGTGAGCAGTAGCAAGAGTAACTTAGGCAAGTTCCAAAACTCCACACCACATGGACACACATTCATAGGGTAGAATTTTTTCTGATCAGACACCTCACCAAAACCATGACTTACCCTTACCTTGATCAGTAAGGCACGACGAAGACCATCCAGGGACAGATAGCCAAGAAGATTCTGCAGCACTGCAGTCTGTAATGAAAACCACAGATCTTGCTTTAACTGGATAAAGTCAGCATCCAGCAATGCTGAACATGTGTTTATCGTGTTAAACTTCCCAATGTGAAGGACTGGTTGACAACATTCAAACAGAAAAAATAATTAAAAAAAGAAAAAATAAGAACAAAAAAGCAATACAAGCAATTGCTGATGAAATATGTGGAAAATCAGGACAGGAATACAGCACTTGTATCATTAAGACCAGACAAATACAGAACAGACATAGTCTAAACCTGGAGCTCAGCTAAATAAAACAAAACCCAACAACAACAAATCAGTACTATGGGAAAGACTGGCACTGCTTCACTGCTGTTCAGCACAGAGCCCTTACCGTGTAGCCATACTGCAACAGCAGCATCTTCTGTGTCACAACAAACTGAGCTTTCTTATTTTTCACAACCAGGTTCCCCAGCAACCTAGACAAGACATCTGCCCTAGCAAAACAACAGCAAAACATTAGGAATCTATGGAGTGACTGTCACACACTACATCAGATTCTTTGAGCAGCTATTTGCAGTGAAGTAAACACCTCTAAATGTTAAGAGCCACTCAGTGGTTGCAAATAATGGTTTTTTTTCACTGCATGCCATGGCTCAGGTCTGTAAGGAACAGTGCAGGTTCTAGCCAAGGGGAACAATCAGCAATTTTGTCCTTTGGTCCCTCAGGAAATGGCACTGTAAGAAACAAAGTGTGTGTGTGCCTGCATCTTTCCTAAGTATCTGTTCCAGCCTTTGCTCTGCTTTAGGGAAGGAAACAGAGCTCTTACCCCGGTGCTCTCTGAACAAAACCAAGGACCACTGCCTCCATCCAGCGGTCTGGCACACACTCAACCAACCGCCAGCAAATTCTCTGCCAGATGCAGTCAGACTTGGTGAGATCCGTGAGGTGGGGCACCAAAACGCTCAGAATTTCCTCTGAAAGAGAAGAGAAAAGAAAAGAAAACACATCAGCTGGGCAGAACTACTGCAGTGGTACTCGAGGTCAGCTGCAAGCATAACGATCTTTATGGATGGAGAAACAGAACAGTCTGCAATTCTATATTCTTCCCGTGGTGGGAACACCTGCAGCCTAAGAAACTTGCAAGCATTCCTCACTGCAGGAAACAGATGGGCAATCTCTCCTTTTTTCCCCTGAAGCCCAGCAACTACTGTGGCTTCAAAGTCCTAAGCCAAGCAAGACTGAAGGCTACTCATAGGAGACGATTATTACATATAGGGAGTGATTTTTGCTGGTATTTACAATACACTTTCAGGTTACTGGATGAGATGCACTAGAAGAGCAGTTATGCCCCAAATGGAAAGATGAGGAGAAGGGCAGAAAGCTCACATATTTTCAAGGTATGAACACATCACTCTTGCATGAGATGATAGAAGAGCATCACCATCTATCAGATTTCTAGATGAGTGGCCTCAGAAAGCAGAGAGCAGTCTGTGCTGATCCCCAAAAACCCTCAAACCTACCAGGTCAGGTAGAACACTCACTTTGTCTTCCATGAATGCAGACCTTTCCCAGAATATGTGAAACGAAAGAGACTGAGCAATCCAAGCCATCTGGAATGAAACAGATAGAAGCTTAACAAGGTCATCACCAGCATCACACCAAGCTGCTACACACACACCTACAAGGCCAGAAGTCTGAAAATGCAGATGAGTTTTCTTCTGAGGCATAACTTCAAACCCCCCCCCCAACTGCCTTCAGGTACAAACCAACCCAACATCATCCATGCAGAGGTGGAGTGAGAGCACTGAAGTGGCTCAGTGCTTCAGCACAACGGTGAGTGGATGACTGGTTGGTTCAGTGCTGGTCTTCCACACACTTCATTTAGCTCACGCTAAATGCTGGCAAGAAACAAGGATATTTAACAGCTCACAGGACTGCAGATTTCAGCAGGACTTTTAACAGCCTCAGTCTCAATCCTGGTATCTTATCCTTTCAAGCACAACGTACTTCACAACAGAAGATGAACTTAAAGCTCCACAACACCCATTATCTACGCCTTGAGCACAAGCCGAGGGCTCCACGCACAAAACACTCCAGAGGAGTCGTCTGTACGGACCAGTTCTGCAATCTCACCTCTGAGCGAAGTGGAGACGTTGTGCAGCACCTGGAGAACCGCGCCGCCCAGCAGAGGGAAGTAATGCTGCGGGAAGAACACGGCGGGGCTCCGGCCCTGGAGGCTGTTGCCGACGAGGTCGGGCAGACACACGATCCTGCCCAGCAGCGCGTCCTGCCGCTCGGCCGAGCCGGGCCGGGAATGCTGCTGGCACTGCTCCCAGATGAGCGCGGACAGGCGGCCCTGCCGCAGGAACCGCTCCAGCGCCTCGGGCACCGCCGCCAGCCGCCAGCCGGGGCTGAAGGAGGAGAGCTGCGCTGAGAGCCCGCCCCGCCCCGCCGTAAGGAGCCGCGCCGCCACCGCCGTAACCCCGCCGTGGGCATCGCTGCCCCGAGGCGCCCCGACCCCTGCCGTGCGTGAGGTGCAGGCAGCCCAGGACAGGGGTGGGGCTGCGAGGTTCCTCCCAACCCAACCGCGTCTGGATTCTGCCATTCTCTAACGGCAACCCCGAGCCGAGCAGCACGGCCGCTCCGTGAAGCCCCGGGCAACCCCCGCTCCCCGGTCCCCGAGGCGCAGCACTGACCGCGGGGCCGCCAGGCTGTCGGTCAGCGCGCAGAAGGCGAGATCGGGCGGGCCCTCCAGGAAGAGGCTCCGCCACGGGCCGGCCGGCTCCTGCGGCCCCGCCGCCAGGTTGCGCAGGAAGGCGCCGAGGCGCGCCCACTCTCGCTCGCCGAGTGCCGCTGAATCCCCCGCCGCAGCCAAGGCCGCCCGCACGGCGTCTACCGCCTCCGCCCCAGGGCAGATCCCGGGCCCGGCCGCCTGCAGGGCGCTCTCCAAGGCCGCCGCCATGATGGAGACCGCGCCACTTCCGGCAGCCATCATGGAGGCCGTGCGCACTTCCGGCAGCGCACTTCCGGCCGCCATGTGGCGGCCAATGGTAGCGCCGGAAGAAGGCCCCGCCCACGCTGCTCTTAAAGGGGCAGGAGCCCCTCCGCCTCTGCGAGCGCGTGCGGAAGCGAGCGAGACGGGCAGCTAATTCTCATCTCTACTGCTTTATTCGATAGTCGCTCGTTCTATACAAGTACAAACACAGCGTGGCCCCAAAGGCTACAAAGTGATACAAAACGACACAAAAATAATGAAAAAAACAACAAAAAAAACTTTATAGTATTGACTGTACAACAGGTGGTTCTTTGCCTTTCCCCAGGCAGCAGCACAGCCCTGAGCCTCCCTCTCTGCCTTGCCGTTTCCTTGCAGGGGTTGACGATCAGTTGTTAACCGGAGATTCGTAAAAGCAGAAGCACTTGCATCATTTCCCTAAGGGACCGAATAGGAGACTTACCAAAATCTTTAAGATAACGTGGAAAGAATCAACCAGGGCAGCAGCTACAAACCCGTTCTTAAGATTTCCAGCTTCTTTTCTAAATTACAATATTCAGCAGGCTGGACTGTTGTCTCTGCAGCATTCAACTGGTATATGCCTTACAGAAGGTCAATATGCAGAAACTAATCATAATTTGGGAATGGGAATAAAGCAAACAGGTCATTAAGTCTTAGAAAGATTTTGTAATCTGGACTCCAGCCGCTCTGACAATCCTAGCAATTGGGTTCGCTGCCTCCCTGTCCTGTTCTGCAGCATTTCCAAAACAGCTCAAGATTTACATGCTCATCTGTACAACATGCTAAGCATTTAGAAATCATCAAGCAGCAGTCTGCTAACTGGAGAAAGGGGCTATAACATCTATCCAGAAGAGATGTTGGTTTTATAGCCTTTAAAAAAAATAAAAAAAAAAATCAAAGCCATTTTTCAGTAATGTCAATTCAATGTCGGGAAACTAGAAGCCCCACAGCAGAGGCTGTCTTATGGCCAGGAACTGTTGCTGTCTCCTCTTGGATTACCTTCACTGCCAGGATCCTCTCTCCCCCCTCTCTCCCTTCCTCACCTAGACCCATTATAAAAAAAGGTACAATATTTATTTTCATGGAATTTAAGTTAAAAAATAAAAAGCTGTCCATTCTTTTTGCTTTATCGTGAAGAGTTGGAGCTGGAGCGGCTGCGATGGCGCCTTCGTCCGGGAGACCTCGACCGCGAGCGCCGGCGGACAGGAGATCTGCGCCTCGGAGAGCGGGACCTGGCAGGAAGGGATGGAGAACATTTCCATTAGGAGGCATGGACAGCAGCTTCCAGCAACATCTGCAGTGTTTGCAAATTGGTTCCTTTCGTACCCTCCAGAAAAATCTCATAAATCATTCTGAAAGAGATCCAGTAAACTCCAGAAAGCAGAAGGGCAATCCGAACAGAAATATTCTAGGAGGAATTTTCTAGCTATTTTACCATCCCTCTGCTTCAGAATTTGAAAGACTGCTTCATATCCAAATAATAGACAAGAATCTTCTACAAAACAAACAAGTTCATTCCACATCAGATTCTCCTTCATCTGAAAGGTTCATCTGAAACTCTGGCTCCTGAAATATTGTTCAGTATTTACACAGGTCACGCAGTACCGCAGACATACTTCTCACAGTCCAGCTCTAAAGAAATAGCTGAGCTTCAGGATCTGCAGTGCTACAGGTAGTCTGTACAGCCATCAATATGACACCAAGGTTCCAGGCATGGAATATTAATGGAGCCCGACAGGACAATAGAAGATGAGGGAAGCAAACAAATCACCCAACCCAGCATTTACCAGACTGCAGTAAAAAGCACTTTATGGAGAAGCAATCAGCTGGTTCAAATCAGGAACTGCATTAGTAATGACAAGAGTTTCAGCAGGTTTCCAAGATAGTGGAGCTCACCCACATGCTGAGAAAACTAATGTTAAGTTTTTTGGAGCCTGGAGGACTCCAGCAGCCTTGGGGTCATATGCACCTGATGCAGGAGGATTGCTTTACTCTTTTTCCTACTGACAGAAAGGAGATATAAGGGCTTCAGAAAAAGGCAACCAGAGCAGGCTGCCAAAAGCATCCTACCAGCCAGCCACAAGCCTGTCCCCACTTCACCTCAAAGCACTACACAGAAGGGAGCAGGCTGGGATCTAAAAATTTTTGATGGACCGTATTCAGAAAGTAGACCACAGCAGGTCAACTCTGGCATTAAGCAATTAAGAACTGTAGAATCATAGAATGGCCTGGGTTGAAAAGGACCACAGTGCTCATCCAGTTCCAACCCCCTGCTATGTGCAGTCACCAACCAGCAGACCAGGCTGCCCAGAGCCACATCCAGCCTGGCCTTGAATGCCTGCAGGGATGGGGCATCCACAGCCTCCTTGGGCAACCTGTTCCAGTGCCTCACCACCCTCTGAGTGAAAAACTTCCTCCTCATATCCAACCTAAACCTCCCCTGTCTCAGTTTAACACCATTCTCCCTTGTCCCATCACTATCCACCCTTGTGGATAGTTCCCCCTCCGTTCCCCCTCCTGTTTATATGCTCCCTTCAAGTACTGGAAGGCCAAATGAGGTCTCCCTAGAGCCTTTTTTTCTCCAAGTTAAACAAGTCCAGTTCCCTCAACCTTTCAAGAAGTACAATCTGAGTTCAGCTGATGCCCAGAAGGTGGTTTGTTTGTTCTTTTGTGTTTTGTTTTGTGTTTTTTTTTTTAAACATCATTTGGAGGGGAAGATGAAGTTGTCCTTGTGCTGGGACTTGGCAATAAATTCTACACTGAGAAGGAAATAAGAACTGTTTCAGCTCTCACCTTCTCCTCATACGAGGAGGTGACCTACGCCACATTGGTGGTGGTGGCAGCATCCTCCTGGGTGGGCTGAAGCGCCGAGGAGGCGGTCTGGGTCGTGGTGCCAATACAGCTGTGGCAGTGATCTCCTGCCCATCGATCTGCCCTGTTCAGAAAGTCACAAAAATAAAGTAAGCATTTTCCAGCACCAACAAATCAAGTGACAGCAATTCACAGCTTTGTCACAAGCAACACAACCCTGTGCTCCTATTTCTGCCACACACTCTGAAGTTATGTTGACAAAATCGCATGCACACCAGACTTCTTAACCAAGTATCCCATTAGACATTGATCAGGAAGGATTTTCACAGAAATTTAAATGATTTTCAGTTTGGAAAAAAAGCATCGTTTTAATAGGTTTTTTTTTTTTTTCAATCCGTCCTGAAACCATACAAAAGCCAAAGGCATTTGGGCTGAAAACAGAATGACAGCATATCAGATCAGCTCCCCAAAAGGTACTCCATCATCTCAATCTCATTTTCACATCAAATCCACCAGCTCCAAAGATTTCTTTCAAAGCACCCAGCGTTGTTGCAGCATTTGACACCTACCTCCATCCATGTGTTTCAGGGCTTTCTCAGCATCATCAGGGTTCTCAAACTCCACATAAGCATAGCCTTTAGAGAGGTGTGGATTTAGCCTGTCAACTGGCATGTCAATCATTTTAATCTTTCCATAAGTGGAAAAAATTTCCATGATGTGATCCTGCCAAGAAGGAGCAGAACTTAAGGATGTATAGCACTCTCACTGAGCAGGTCTGGCTGGTACAGAGCACACAGCACCAAATCAGCTTTAAATCAATGTCACCTGCAGGAGATACATTCCACTAATCACGTGTGGAAAAGACACTGGGTTACCACATCCTCTACTGATGTCTATGTCTGTTTCACTTCAAATCATTCCAGACCTTAACAGAATTACAGGCTGAACATCATCACAGGCTACAAAAGCTGCACTAGTGTAAAAACTTTCCTAGTTTTTCCTAGGAAAGTGAAGCTGTGTCCTCAGATAGAAAGCCTTAAGGAACAATTCTTAATATTTTTTTTTAATAGCATTTTTTCAGCACCCTAAACTTGTACCTCTGCAGACCTCTAAACTACATTCTAGCAAAGACAACTCCAGCCAATCCAGCTCTCCTGGAGCTCCTTTTTGTGAACCCCCACGTGACCTTAATGCCACCCACGTGATTTCTACTGTTGTACTGACTTCTACAGTTTTCTTCCTAGGAAGGTGAAGTACAAGCTGTGGGGTACCAATACAGCACACAGAGCTTTTAACACTAGTGAATCTCAAAAGCCTGCACTTAATTTGACTTGGGGAAGTTCTACTGAAGCATTCCTCACTCATCAGTTTGGACACAAAGCAAGGATTTCCAACAGCAAAGTTCTGGCAGCAGTCCAGCAACAAAACAAACATTGAAGGCTTTAAAAAAAAAAAAAGCCATCCACCAACACACCCACAAAAGAAGCACCTGCTTGGCATTAGAGGAGAGCATGCCATTACCTTGGTGACATTTCTAGTGAGCCTCCCAACATGCACTTTTGTAGGTCTGGGTGATGGGCTGCGCCGCTTCCGCTCCTTTTCATCTCTCTTGGGTGGCTTGGACCTGATTTTGACGAGAAACATTTACAGCTTCCAGGGAAAACAAGAAGACAAGAACTAGAAGCCAATCCCTAGCACGTGATTTTAAGAGAAGTACCATTTTTCTTGTGGAGGTAGCTTTTTTCTTAAGACATTACAAGTTAGGAATTGCTAGGATGGTGGTTGTGTTCCACTCAGAAAGATAGGAAGATTTATATTTGCCTTGTCTGCTTTTGCTTTACAAACTTCTGGAATCAAAGAGGCTGCTTTTTTTTTAAAAAAAAAAAAGGTTAGCTAGGTTTACTAAATTTAATTTACCAAGGATTTACTCAAAGTCATTGCTAACATTAAAGAACTCTGAAGTTGCAGGAACAAAAATCATCATGTGACAACAATTAAAGAGGCAAAACAAGGACGGAAGCACCAAAGCATAGCACAACCAAAAAAATAATGGATCTAGTGACCTGTGTTTCTGTGTCTTCTGTTCACTATAGAAGACAAGAAACATTACATCTGAATTATTTAAATAACTGTGTTACAATTTGCTTGCAGGTTTT